TTGGATGCAGAATTAGAGATTTTAAGGTGACAGATTAAAACCCTCAATTTGGTTCAGTTGATTGGAAACTAATGCTATATATAAACACTGGGATAGATATAGAGTCCATTATATATACTTCCTACTACTTTTGTAAACATCAATATATGATCTAACATGGATTTGGAGTGATCTTTTCACTCATTTTGTAATCCAAATTTCATATTAACATGTAAGGAGCTATAGATAGCTCTTTTTTTTTTAAATATATATATACATATATATATATATATATATATTCAAATAATTTTAATTTCTTTACAAACCATATACTCATTGTAAAGGGGAATGATGTTTTCTTAAATTTAAACTTTCCATCACAACAAAAACTTCGTTAATTTTTCATAATTTTACTTTTGAAAATTTAGTATTTAGTTTAGTTTAATTTCTGTAATCTTACATCTGCATTTTAATTAGCATTCACGTGAGTAGTCAAATTTCAAACTTTGCACTTTACTTTTTTTTTGTTTTTATTATAAAATAATTTTCATAACTTACTTTTGGATTTTCTAACTTCTCTGTGGGATTGATATCTGGTACTCCATTAGAGCCCTTTATTACTTGAACAATAAATATACTTGCATTGATATTTGGGAGATATTTGGCACTTTAAAAAAAGGTTTTAAAAGTTAAATTACAGTTATAAAAAGTATTTTTGTTAGGAATATATTGCATATTTACTCTAATTCTACCTTCATCTAGTTTTTTGCGTCGTTAAGTGGTGTCATCATCATAAATATTTGCATATACAAATCTCCGTGTCAAAGGTCAACGATGAACAAGTAATGACTGAGCTCAATCTAGCAGAAGAAAATCAAACCCATTCAGCCTTTTGATAAGAATAAATCAAGAGAAGAGCCACCCATTACTACAACTAACCCATCCAAAAAAGCATGATTGCCCCAAGAGATCTTATTTTAAAGAAAGCTAGTTCAGCGACTCGCAAGCATGTGAACAACAAGGCAAACCAGTTGTGAATCAGCCCATAAATTGGTGATCAAAATGTAGCCCTCAAAGCATACAAGCTGAAGCCTTGCTCCAATAAAGCAGTTGCCTGAACGTGGAGCAGAGACAATCCAAAACAAATTTTTTCGAAGAAATTCCTTTTATGACCACACAAAAAAAAATAAAGAAGGTGGTCTCATTCCAATGAGCTTATCATTTTCTCTCTTAAGAAATGTTAAAAATGTGAATTGGCAAATTAAGTGTGTAATCCCAAGTTTGAACAACACTCGGGGAACTCGTGGAGTTTGGGGGATTAATATTTAGCCAACACTCAAGGAACTTAAACTCGAGCAATGAAACTGACGATGATGGTGTCTAATTGACAAGACATAAAAGGAAACAGCCTCCAATGCTCATGCATCATAGACATGTCCCAAAACTTGGTTGGATGTAACTCTAGAGGTGGTTCCCTACCTAGTTGTGATAAGCTCTACAAAGGGTATGAAACAAATCACTATAAAGTTGCGTTCGTGCAGTTCTCTATGTGAAAGCAGTTACAAGATCTCTTAATAAACTTGCACGAGGGGTATTCTATCTAAGGTCGAGGTCCGACCAAGAGACCGAGACTTAGCTAGCATAAGAAGTGAAACGAGAATCTACAGCAAAAACCAAAAACGATGCAAGTCATATGATTGGTACAAAACTCTAGAAATAAATGACAATGATGCAAGATGTTTGATCGGTGTTTAAAAATAAAAATTGGCCCTTACTCAAACATCAAAAACCTGTCTCTAAGATCAAGCCAAGTGAAGCTTTGGAGGTGGCTCTTTGTCAAGTAGCGACAAGCTCCCACAAATGGGACCGAGAAAATTATCCCAAAAGCAAATCACAATGATTAGTCTGTTCAAGGCAAAACCACGGTTGAGTAAAAGAGAGGGGATTGAAAAAGACTTGAGCTAGGTAGAAAGAACGTCAAAACTGATCGAAATGACTTTCCTATGGTGTAAGCAATTAAAAAACACACATTCATCATAAGCAGCAAGCAGTAAATAATATAAGGTAAAAGTGAAATCAGTAAAAAACAATCGGCTGAAAGCCACATTTCATTTCGTTTAATCAATCAATTATAAAAATCTTCTTCATCGGACTTCAACAGCAGCGACAATCTCTGCATCCACTTCAAGAGCTGTCCGAGCCTCTTCCTCCATGGGAGTTTCCACAGTAGTTATTGTATCCTCGGGCTCTGGCTCAGCCCAAGCAGGAACTCCTGGGGATGGCCGACTGGCCTCCCCTACGTAGAATTGTTGATAAATTTGGCTGAGGTGGCCTGCCTTTAGCTCGTTGGATTTTAACCCGACTAATCATCCGAGTGTCTCTCGACATCATCCCTCAAGTAGTTGGGAGTCTATTAGCCCTCATCCTCATGAGCCCTCGATGGATCTAAGTTCATGAAGGCAGGTTTTTGTTCAATTTGAATATGTTCTCCAATGGAAATTCTTTGAATGACTACAATGGTTTCATAAAATGTGTGAATATAATATGAATCTTAAAGATCAATGACTGGATCGAAGATTGCCTTCTCTTCGTCTCTCGCCCCCGATACAACCTTTGAACAAGCCACCTTCTCGTTCAAGTTCATCTATGTAGGCTAGGAGAGCCAATCCATTCGCCTCCACATCCGAGGCATCCGAGGAGGTCTAAGGCACTGCGGTCATTGCCCCATACTTATTTCGGTTAAGACCACCTTATTCACAATCATCCTCTCAATGTACTGCACCATGGACAATTGCCTCCTCTCAATTGCCAAAGCTAGAGACGAGATCCGAGGAGGCACAAATTGCACCTTATAGACTCCTCCAATTAGTCAGGTATGGATGTGTCAATCCCTAACTGACCCAAGAATGAACCAATATTTTCATTTCTTTATTTTATTCTCCAAACCGATAAGGTGAAACTTGTGGGATGAACCAAAAACTACGTAGCCATCTGGCTCAACCTGGAAGGAGGACATGTAAGATAAAGTTTTTGGGACCACAGATTCTCCATTTGTAGATAGTAAACCATATACTACATGATAGCTGCAATCAAGTTTCACTTGATTCGAGTAGGGATCACACTGTAATGATTCAGGATGGATTGAAAATATTTTCAAAATGGTAGTTGAAGACCCCACTAGAACTGGTCTCGATAGAAGACAAAGTTGTTCCCAAATTTGTCGGTCACCCAATTATCTGGGCCAACAACGCACAAGTGAATCCCAACATCAAAGATGCATGCCATCACAAGCGAGGCAGTGTCCAGTGTAATCATAGTAGAACACTCGACTATAGGAAATGTCTCAAACCAATTTGGAAGAATATTTGTTGGCCATGTAAACAAAAGCTAGAAGAGCAAGCAAAGGAGTAGTTGATCAAAAGGAGGAAAAGGAATAGTATGTTTAGAAAAACTCAACTGTCATCCCTTGTATATATATATATATATGGATGCAACGGAAGTTCAAATGCCATGGCAATGTCACATGTCAGCTTCAAGGGCACAAATCACATCAACACAAAAATCAATTAAAAATAAAAGGCATCAAATAATTTTTTGCAAAAATTAATAAAAAAATGTTTTTATTCAGTAGAAAATATTTTACAAGTGGGTCCTCAGCTGTCTTGGCCGAGATATACCACCACCGAAGACCCATGTTGTTCCCAAATTTGTCGGTCGCCCAATTGTCTGGGCCAACGACGCACAAGTGAATCCCAGCATCAAAAATGCATGCTTTCTTGAGCCAGGCAACGTCGACTACAATCATAATAGAACAATCGACTACAAGAAGAGTCTCAACCCACTTTGTAGAATATTTATTGGCCATGTAAACAAAGGCTAAAAGTGCAAGTGAAGAAGCAGAAGATTGAAAGGAGGAAAAGTAATAGAATGGGTGAAAAAATCCAACTGTCAACCCTTATATATAAAGTGCAACGGAAGTTTAAACACCATAGCAAAGCTACGTGTCAACTTCAAGTACACAAATAGTATCAACACAGTTAAACCTGTATAAACTTATAGCTTGGACTTCGACTTGCAAGACTAAATAGGTCGATCGAACATCAACAAACTCCACAAAAAGAGCCACCAGCTCTACTGAATGCTTCAGCCTTCGGGCTCACCGCCACCTCCAAATTCAACTACAAGTCGTCGATTGCCCCTTTCAGGGCCCACTTGTGGGTTGACCAAGATATCAACCGCCTCTTCTAGCCTTGATACCTAGGTTGAGGTCCCTCAATACACTAGAGGCAGGTACTGAGGTTGTACCTGATAGCGGCAAGTCAACGCTTAGGACTGTGTCGCCTGTATCAACGAACAAGCATCAGCAAATAAGTGAAGCTTATAATCACAACAGATCATCACCACATACCTAGAGATTGATATAACTTGAAACACAAGAATGTGAGAGAACACTCAGATTAAAATTATTCACCCAATACCTGATAGCCTAGTTCAATCTCAACACTTAGTTTCACAACCAAGACTCAACAATCGACAATCAGACTAAAACAATCAACAGATTGATTCAAGTTGACCGAGCAAAGTTCAGATCACCAAAGCTGACCAATTACCCAAACTCAATAGATTTGAACGAACATACCTTACCAAGCCAAGAACTACACATCTCTACCGACCAAGCAATTGGATAATGGAACCATGGGTTCTTCTATTTTCTATTTCCCTAAAATATCCTGTAATACCACCTAATATTGGAGCAACCGTGTACTTTTTCACTTTATGCGCCAATGCATATAAATATAGAGATAATTTCTACTATAAAGAATCAATCAGTCACCTTTAAGAGAATCAGGTTCTTATTGTTTACTCTATTTATCTCATGTTTTATGCTCTATTACTTATGTGTGATTCATAAGACAGTTTCAACAATATATATATATATATATATAGAACTGGTATATATATAGGTGCGTTCATATTTTACAAATTAAAAATGGTGGCTTTTTTTTATATAAATCTAAAAGTTAATTTTTAGGTGTTAGATATGCGAATACATAGGAATTGGGTGGTACGTATGTAAATGCCCCGAATAAAAACATTTAATCTTCAGTTTAGCAGTTTACAGGCCCATTGATCCTTGGATACAGATGAGGAGAATTCTTTAGACGGTGAAAATGGAAGCAGGCGAATGGCACACTAGTGCTAATCGTCACCATATATTAAACTGTTAACGAACACGACGGACTTTCTCTTCCTGGCCTAGCCCAAGTGACTTCTGAGCATTTGCAATACCCTCTGGATCTGCAGGTAAGAATACAATAAAATTGTGAAAATAAATGACAAGTGATAATATGATAAGGCAAACAGCAGCCAAACACTGGCCCTTCATACAGCCCACAAAACTTAGTAAGCATTTGCTGTGTTCTTTATGATATATTTTGCAAAAAAAATACGTGTAAACAGTGCATTGTATTATCGTAAGGGTTAAGGGGGCAAAACAAATGGATTTGCTAAGTGTATTCTATACATAACTCCTGCGACGGCAACAAGTAGCAGAGCAGGCAGCCATCAAAATTGTGCCTTCTACTGTTTCTAAATTTTTGCAGATACAAAAATAAATAAATAAATAATAAAATAAAAAATTGCAGACATCAGTGAATGAGCCAAAGATATAGGGAACCCTCCCAAGTATTTAATGAACTAGTATATTGCATGATGAACTCACTAGAAACAAATCAAGTCCAAAGCCTACTCGCCCGCACTTCACCTGGCAAGTCAGCAATTTCACCCGTCTAGCCGTTGCCTTCAACCATCAATCTGACAATCCAGAGACCAAATCAATCGTCAACATATATTTTTTTATACGTTTGGCTACTCGCCGCACGAACTATGATGTATTTTCTTATTTTTTTAGTATTACCTGCAGCACAAAAATAAAGCCTAGCCCAAACCACAAATAGGAAGACCAAAGTAAGATTTTGACATAAAGTCACATGTAGATTTCAATAAATCTAGTGCGAGAGCTTCTCTCTCCCTATCCCTCTCCCTCTCCCTCATTTATGAACCTTATGAGTATTGTGAGTAATGTTCTGATATTTCGTAAACATTTATTATTTAAGACTTATATTTACATGGAACCGATCATGCAAATGGCCTGAAAAATAGGAAGATTTATGTTGAAACGAAAATATCTCGTACGATCCAACCTCAAAATTGGCATGCCTTTCCAGAAAAAATTAAGGAAAACACAATATTTCTTCACTAAATCAAACAAATCAACACGAAAAAAAAGATAAGCACCTATGATTCAAGATGTAGGCGATCTCTCCCAATTCCTACAATTTGAGAGATAAGAAATCTCTCTCAAAACCTAAACCTATGACTCACAACTCAATCTCATGCATAAACCTAACCCTAGACAAAACAAGGCTATTTATACTGAACATTAGTAATAATTAAAAACTAAATTGCCCTTAGACGTACAAAAGACAAATTTGCCCTTTAGGCTAGGAACCCTCATAACAATAGTCCACTCAAAAGACATATTGTCCTCAAGATGAGAAAAAATGAGAGTGCTCCTCCCTCACTATTGTCTCAATTTCTTCGTTATTTGCTTCCTCATCCTATACCATGAGAACTTGTAATCTTCGATTCTTGCAATGTTGTCCAGGGATAAACTTCACATCACACCAAAAACAAGACCCATTGACTCGCTTCTCTCGAATCTCTGTCTTTGTAAGGCGTTTGAGTGTTGCTCCAGGTCTTCATCCATGATTCGTGTTCCATGCAACCTCCCTATGGACTTCCATTATTTGAACTTTTAGCATCATCGTGGTAGCAGTAGTTCCGTAAGATGCTCCATTTGTGTGCTCCTGTTGGCTTTCATTATATGGTTCTTGTCTTCCACCATCTGGGCTAGCTAAATCATCTCCCTCAATCCTCTCGGTCTTAGTAGTCGGAGTGCAACCCCTATGTCCAGCTTTAAACCCTTCGTTAAATTTCCCTCTAGTCCTGATTGAGAAATAACCCACAGTCGGCCCGACAATAATTCAAATCTGTCCCTATAATCCATGTTTGTCCCTATAATCCATGACCGTCCCCACTTGCGTCAAGGAATAGAATTGCTCGTGTAGATCCCCTTTTTGAATAGCTCAAAAATGTTCCAATAAACAATCCTAAAATTCAACCCACGAACAAATCGGGTATCTAGCCTCCCTCCACTAAAACCAGGCTAAGGATTCCCTTTCAAACACAATCCTGACGCCATGAGTTTGTCCTCCCCATCTAACTCATTCACCGCAAAGTATCGCTCCGCCCGATATACTCAACCATTATTATCTTCTCCCTCAAAGATCGGCGTCCTCAACTGCCTAACTTTAACATTATCCCAACTTACTATTCTTCCTCCGTTGTTTCCGCCATGTATCGAAGGTAAAACTCCTTCGATCGCAGTCATATTCCCTCACTGTTTCTCTCCCTTCTTTGTGCTCCTCCATTCCTCTACATAATCCCTTCTCCATGTTTTTGTTTATCCGCCTCCATCAGAAATCTCTAATCCACCCCTAATCAGAGCCTTGAGAAGAAGTTCGTGATGGTGGACGTTTTCCTCCTCATGTTCCTCACATTCGATCTCTTTTTCTTTCAATCTTACCACGAAGTCTCCAGTCAACCTTTGGTTAGGCTTTGCAAATTGAACTGTCGGCGAGTTCTTGGATTACACCTCAATGAGCCACTTTAGCATATCTCGATCTTTCCCCATGCTCTCGAATCAATCCTCCAGTCGATTTTCCAAAGAAGAGAATATTTGTTCTATGGTGGCGAATATTTCTTTCATCGCAGAATTGATTTGACTTATCTCTTCCTCTAATTTCTTCTCCAGATCACCTACTTTCTTTGAGGTTATCTCTTTCAGAAAAATTTTCAATCTAAAAAACAAATCTTATACCCTAAATTCTCGTGATCTCTTCTTAAATACCTCTTATCATAATTATTAATCTTTCCAAATCATGTAAATGTCGTTAATCCAAAGCACCTACTACGACTGTATGCACACAAATCGAAGTGATCCTTGAATAAGGAATTTTTTGGGTCTATGTTGGAGGCGATCCCTCGCGCTGCCTTCCCAGATAGTTTTGATCACAGCTGGATCGCGTAGACGGCGCAAGACGATAAAAAAATGGATGTTTTGGGTCTATGTGCGTTGCGAACCCTCACACCTGCCTTCCAGATAGCTCTGATTGTGACTGGATTGCCTAGATGACGCAAGGAGAAAATTGGAAGTTTTTGGGCCCTTTGCGCCGCAATCCCTCGTGCTTGTCTTCATAGATAGCTTTGATCGCGACTAGAACGTGTAGACAATGCAGGACGAAGAAAAAAAAGGAAATTTCAAGTCCTTATGCCTCGCAAACCCTCACAACTGCCTTCCCAGATAACCCTGATCGCAACTAGAACGCGCAGATGACGTGGGAGGAAGAGAAGTCAGCGCAGGAGGTAGAGGAAAATGGGAGTTTCAAGTCTCGATAAGCTGCGATCCTTTGTGTCGCCTCTTTCACAACAAGCTATGACCTTCTGCGACCCCTTTGTCTCTTTCTCAGCAAGCTCGGAGCGCGATTGTATCGCAGGGTTCTGTCACGAAGGAGTTTCACATCTTGGTAAGTCGCGATCCTTCATGTCAAAAATGTCTCAGTGCACTGTGACCTCATGATGGCCTCCATTCCAACAACTGTATATCTGGATTCGGTCAACAAGGGATCCCGTTGATGCTTCTCAGTTACTTCTCACGCCAACAATGATTGTTTATCGTGTCGGTAGCAATTCCACGGTGATCTCCCCAAAATTGAGCTCTCATACCAATTTGGTACAATCCAATCTCAAAATCAGCACACTTCTCAGAAAAAAAATAGGAAAAACATAATATTTCTTCACTAAATCAAACAAATTAACAAGAAAACAAGCATAAGCACCTACGTTTCGAGAGGTAGGCGATCTCTCCCAATTCCTATGATTCAAGAGGGAGGAATCTCTCCCAATACCTGATCCTAAGACTCACAACTCAATCTCGTGCATAAACATAACCCTAGACATAACAAGTCTATTTATACCCAACAATAATAATAATAAAATACTAAATTGCCCCTAGGGTGTTTCCACAACAGCTGCTGTAATCTCGAGCTCCACCTAAGCCTCGACAGAAACTCCAGGGGACATTCGACTAGCCTCCCCTCTCATAGAATGGTTCATGAAACTAGCGTGGCTAGCCTGCTTTCGGCTTGCTAGATTCTAACCCGATTGATCATCCGAGTGTCCCTCGACATCATCTCTCAAGTAGTTGGGAGTCTGATCACCCTCATCCTCCTGAGTCATCAAAGGACATAAGTTCATGAAGTCAGGTTTTTGTTCGATTAGAATATGTTCTCTAGTAGAAATTCTTTGAATAACTACAATGGTTTCATAAAAGGAATGAATATAATCAAAATCTTGAAGATCAATGTCTGGATGGACGACTACCTCTTCTTCTCTCACCCTAAATACAATCTTCTGGCGCGGCTTCAGTCTATATCGGCTAGGAGACCCAATCCACTTTCCCTTGCATCCAAGTTGGCTCAAAGCACTGCGGTCATTGCCCCATACTTATTCTGGTTAAGAACCTAGTTGACAATTACCCCCGCAGTGTACTGCACCACAGACAATTGCCTTCTCTCAACCGCTGAAGCCAGAGACCGGATCCGAGGAGGCACGAATTTCGCCTTCTTGTAAACTCCTCCAATTAGTTAGTTCTGGATCCCCCAGTCCCTGATCAACCCAAGAATGAACTGAAATTTCCATCCCTTTATTTTATTCTCCAAACTGGCAAGTGGAACTTACAGAATGAACCAAAAACTACGTAGTCATTTGATTCATCCTAGAAAGACATGTAAAATAAAACTTCTTGGGACCACATATTCGATCCACAGACAAGAAACATGTATGAAACGATCGTTGCGATCAAGTTTCGCTTGATTTGAGCAGGGAACACACCGTAATGGTTCAAGATAGATTGAAAATCTTTTTAAAGTGGTAGTTGGAGACCCCACCGGAACTGGTCTAGGTAGAAGACCAAGTTGTTCCCAAATTCGCCGGTTGCCCAACAGTTTGAGCCAAAGGCATACAAGTGAATCCCAGCATCAAGGATGAATGCCTTCTCGAGCGAGGCAGCTTCGACTGAAATCATAGTAGAACACTCGGCTACATATAGCGTCTCAAACCACTTTGGAGAATATTTGTTGGCCATGTAAATAAAGGCTATAAGAGCGAGCAAAGTA